CCTCCTCCGGGAGCCTCTATGTTATGCTTGCTGAGTCTGCACTGAGGATGTCCATGAACCAGATAAGGGAGTTGATTTATCTGGAGGGGTGGGTTTTCTTCAGCTGGATCAACTGTGCAGTCTTGTTCCTGCCCTGCTGGTGTATCACAAGGGTGGCACAGGGCAGAGGAAAACAGCCAAGACAAAGTAGCATCTGCTTACATTGACTTAAGCACCTCTAGGACATATAAAACCAAAGCCTAACATTTCATTTAACTCTTGCTATCAAGTTATTTCCTGCTGGACTCCAGGCTACTGCTGCTCAACAACCCCACACCGCGGGGAGACAATACTCACCACCAGCAAGAGCCTCCTCTCGTGCACTGTCATCATCACTCGGCTGAAGAATATTCCAGGATGTCAAAGCGAGTGAAGAAATGTCTTCGGCGGATGATAACTTCAGCATGTCCATGTGATTGCTGTCAGGCTTGTAACGTGGGATGAAACACTCTTTGCCTTGCTTAAAAATGTCCTTAATGATTTCTTCTGTCTGGATTTCATCTGGCATGCTCAGAAAGATTGCAATTCTTTTGGATTCTTGGTACTTGGGATGGCCAATCACCTACATGGGAAATTGGTGTAATCAGTTGATGAACAGTTTATTAAAAGATTGACTTACTTTAATTAAACACACCATTGGAGCAAAATATCCATTGAAAAGGGTAGCGATACAAACTACCACACATCATAAAGAGAACAAACCAACTTTGTTCCCTACTCCAACATTTCTATCATCAGCAAAATCAAAATAGGCAAATTTTTGCAGCCAGTGAACAAAACATTGTAACAGAGGTTTGGGCAAGAAAGAAGCAACTTTGGAGACAATCTCCTGATCATTTGAATATTCATGCCACATAGTGTGGACATCCTCCAATGCCCATCACCACTGGAGAAAGATACTGTAGGTCAGAACTACCAGCTTATGCAAGACGGGAGGTTTTTGCATTCCTTTTCTTCCATCCTTTTTATATACTGCATCTCTCATCTGGGCCGAGGTACAATGAGAAGTGCATCAATGATAATAACTCAAAAGAAAATTAGCATCAGAGCAGATGACTGCAGAGCACAATGTCTTCCAAGACCAAGTCCTTCTTTCTTTTTTTAAACGGAAATGCCTTCCCTACAGCAAGTTTAGATATATGACTTCAAACATCACCTGCTTCTAATAGGTGATCTTATTACTTCACGTTTTTCAGAGCTTGAAGGAAAGATGGCCTTGCTGTTTTTTTGATTTTCACGAGGTTCCCTGTGCTGGGCTTAGAAAAGTCTGAATATAGGAAAGAAAATAAAAAATGCTTATATGGTGAAAAAGCATTCACAGATTCATACCTCACTACGTCTCTGCCCCATTCCAGATTGAATTTCACATTAAAATTTGAGAGGTGGTTTTTAAAAGCTTGCCTTCTTATTCTCTAGTACCTTACATATTTTGTTTGGACAAAACAAATACAAATGTGTCCCTTCTTACTTAAATGTGATTTACTCTTTTTCTACACACTTGCAAAAATCTGTCCAAAATATCAGACAATTGAGAAACTGTGCTTATCTATGGAACGGAGAGCACCAAATCCTCTGCTTTGCGTTTGCATAACTGCAGGGTAACTCGCTCTTCTGAGCTTTAGCCTTTGCCCTGGCCCTGTTTGGAGAGATAAATGCTGCTATCCAAGTTGAGATACAGTTCTCACTCCCTTTTTTGATTTCTTTCCAGCACAGCCGTTAAAAGCCCAGGTGAAATATTCAGAGGATGGATATATTTTTGTAAGGCAAAAGAATAAAAGAAACACTCCAGACCGAAATATGGTAGTGTGTTGCTTGGCCATAGAAACGTCTTAACAATTCAAAACCATATTTTACTTCCTTTTGTAATTTGCCCAACCTTAAATACAGATTTTTCCAACTAAGTGATTAAGCTCTTAAACAACAGAATCTCCGTGGCAGCCTTTGTTTGAAAGAACAGACTATTTAGGCAAATTGCAGACTCCAGACAATGCCTGTGCTTCATGTTGAGGCTTCTCAAGGGTTTGGGGAAGAGAGAAATCCAGACACTTTTCAAAGTGGTGCTGGGCACCACATAGGTCCAATCTGCTTCGATGGGTCCAGGAACACGTTGATTATGCCGTATAGAAAAAAATGAGGTTGAAGATGTAAAACCACATGCTAGCAGGAAGACACAATTTCAGATGTTTTCAGAACTGTGAAGAACTATGACTCGGAGCAGTTTCTGAGAAGAGTGACACATTTTCCACACTTACCAAATATTATTTGCCCTTTGTTCACCAGCTGAAGCTGTTTTTGCAGAGTCAGAGCATGCAAACAGCATGACTTTAATCATGAACATAAACATTAAAAAAGAATAATCATCCAGAAGCTAATTAAATACTAGTGGCTAGGTCAGCCTGTGAACCAATTTTACTTTGAATTTAAATTTCATCATTTTGAGATGAAATTTTACAACTACAAATGTTGTTCAGGTGCTATAAAATAACTTACTCACTTTCATTAAATGCAAGCACTGATACATGTTATAAAGCTACATTTTCGGCCTTGTACTGCTCCAAATATTTTCTCAGCATTTTCAAAAATTTCTTCATGTCTGCTGTATTACCCTCCCCATAAAGAAGCTGACTCTACTTTCTGACACTCGCGCAACATCACTCTGTCTCAAGCAAGCTCGGGATCTTAAATTCATGTCAGATTATTGAAATGGCCAGATAACATCAATTTATAGGTCATATTTCCCTATGTCTTCTTTTAAGCAAAACAAAAGCTTTATCGTTGTGTGCTCTCACTGGCAGAAATGAGTGCTCTGTTGCTGGGTTTATCAGCTGCAGTTAGAAAAAGGCTGAGGGCTCCTAAAAATTCGGTATTACATGGGCTAGGTGCTTATAAAGTTGGCAGAGGACTCTGCATTTTTGGAAAGGATGCATGGCAGTATTTTCTAAAAATTGAGAGATTTAAGTCTAGGATGTGTGATTACTAAAATGCATTATCATGATAGCAGGATTGCTTTTTTTAAAAAAAAAAACACATACCCAATGAAAAAAAAGGTTACATGAGTGCCAGTTAAACTTGTTACGACCTAAAGTTTCTGTGCTGCCATGTCTTCATGAGCTCCTCTGGCAGAAAAATAACAATATAAATGTAGATCGTCTAGAAGTACCCGCTGGTGCTGCAAAAAAAAAAGGAGGACTGTTCTCTATTACACGCAGTGACTGCAAAATAAAATTTTATTGCGTTTATTAAAATGATAAAATACATCTATATAAAAATTTTGTAATCGAAACGCAGACAGGACATTTCGAAAGTACATGTCAATATCGTGCTGTGCTAGGATAACAGTTAGGTAAGCCCTGCTTGATATCCTTTAAATAGTAAAAATTATATTAGAAATAAAATTGCATGGAAGAAATACCACTGAAAGACATAGAAGGGGAACGACAGCCAGTTAAACAAAAGGCCAAATGACGACAGCTGCTAAATTTTTATACGCAATGGCCAGGAGCTGGCCATAGAGCCAGCCCGATGTGACCCACTGGAGAGAAACCCCCCGCGCACAC